GATGATCTCAAGGTCCTTTCCATCCCTAACCACCCTTCGGTGACTGCCCGGGTGCTGGTGTCTGGCTGCAGCAGCACCACCAGGGTCACTCCTTGGGGAGGCTCAGAGGGATTCTTCACATTCCTGTGCTCATCCCTGGCTTGTGTTATATAAAGTTCCTTCCTACAATATTAAAGACGTAGCTGCACAGTGGCATGAAGGTGTCACTCCAAGTGTCACCCAAACCTGTTCTGTCCCCCCCCGGCTCCCTGTGGGGCAGGGTTCCGTACTTATGCAATTCCTCTCATTTCACAGCATCCTGCACACGCTGGTGCTGAGAACACGTTCTTCTGGCAGCGAGGAGTGAAACGTCTCCTGAGCAGCTCAGCAGCGTAATCCCGGGGAGTGCCTCCTCCCCGCTCGGCTGCTTGGAGTACACACGTGTGGGGTGGTTGTTCTCTGCAGGCACCACACGTTCTGCTTCTGGTTAGTTTTTCACCCCAGCGCTGGGACCCTGTTCCCTGAGATCCACCAAATTCACAGCTCAGGAGGCCCTGAACCAAACCAGGGTGAATTCCTCCAAGAACCCAAATCCTGGCACTTTCTCAGCCCCACATGTGGGCAAACAGCTCAAGAGACGCACTGAATGGTCCCCAATAACTGCCCATCGCTGGGGTTTGGGCCCTCTCCAGTTAAAATGCCTTTCTGAGGCTTAAAGAGAACTGAGCTGGGTGCAGCTTAAAGGAGTTTCTTCAGGCAGTGGAATGCTGAGGGTCTAAAGAGGGTGATGGAGGGTTGGGGGTTGGTTTGGGGTGGTTTTAGCTCAAGCACCAGTGTTGGCTCTCAAGGCTTGAGCTAGAGATTGACACTGCAGAGACTAGTGAGGAGAACATCCCACCCCAAATAGTTCTGGCTTGTCCATCTCCTTGTATTGCATGGTCAGGGCTTGGAGCAACCTGCTCCAGTGGAAGGTGTCCCTGCCCATGGCAGGGGTTGGGACTGGAGGAGCTTAAAGGTCCCTTCCAAACCAAACCATTTCATGATTCTATGAGGCACTTAAGGACATGGATTAGTGGTGACTTGGCTGTGCTGGGTTAACGGCTGGACTTGATGATCTCTTAAAGGTCTTTTCCACCCCAAATGATTCCATGATTCCAAGGGGAAGTTCTCTCTGCTCTTCAGGAGCAGCTTGGGAAGGAAGGAGGATATTTCAGCTGAAGGGCTCTGCATGAAGGCAGGAAGGTCCAAGCTGACCAGGAGATGCTGGCTCTTGGGAGCAGGTCTCCACTTCTCATAGGAGCCCATTTGGGGCTCATGGAGCTGGGGAACTCCGTGCCTGGGCTGCTGGCAGGATGGAGATGAGGGTTGGGCTTTGCTCCTCTAGGAATGCCCATGGAATAAGGCCATTTCTATTCCTTTTATCCTTAACACCTCCTCATGCGTGCCCTGATGTTTGCAGCTTTCATGCTGATCTCCAGCCCAGGGACCGAGCCTGGTGGTAGGATTTAGCATGAATAATCCATGAATAACTCAGCAGCCTTAAGCCCGGGGTAAATGCCTCACTTTTTAGATGGAGTTTGGATTTCAAGCCCATGGCAGAGCATTGGGGGCCAGTGGAGGGGTTGAGACACAAACCATCCCCCTGGGGATGGGGGAAAGCAGCTTTGCAGAGGTCTCCCGGCTGTGCCACCGTGTCTGTTGATGCAGCAGATCCCTTAATTATCCCATCAGGTTTCCTTTACCTTGTTTTTAACGTGATTGAGTGTGCAGCAAAGTTGCTTTAATCCCTGTGAAATCCCTGCTGGATTTGGCAGGGTGAGGCCTTGGCAGAGGTTTTCACTATTGACTTTGCAGAGGACGGAAGGTGTTTGTGTGCAGGAGAACGTGGCTGCTCCGTCCCGATGCTGAGCTGGACCACGTGGATGGTCGAGGGGCTGGATGGGGGATGTTGAGTGGTGGTTGTGTGTGAGCATCACAGTCTGGACCCTGACTCCTGAGTGCACTTATCCTCCCATTGCATCTGTTAGGTGAGGCCAGAGGAGGCCCCGGAGCTGCTGCGAGGGCTGGAGCAGCTCTGCTCTGGAGCCAGGCTGAGAGAGCTGGGCTGGGGCAGCTGGAGAAGAGAAGGCTCCTGAAGGGGACACCTTAGAGCAGCTCCAGGGCCTAAAGGGGCTCCAGGAGACCTGGAGAGGGGCTTTGGACAAGGGATGTAGGGACAGTACACGGGGAATGGCTTGAACCTGCCAGAGGGGAGACTGAGATGAGCTCTGAGGCAGAAGCTCTTCCCTGGGAGGGTGCTGAGGCGCTGGCACAGGGTGCCCAGAGAAGCTGTGGCTGCCCCATCCCTGGCAGTGTTCAAGGCCAGGTTGGACACAAGGGCTTGGAGCAACCTGCTCTAGTGGAAGGTGTCCCTGCCCATGGCAGAGGGGTGGGACTGGATGAGCTTTAAGGTCCCTTCATCCCAAACCATTCCAAGATTCCATGATTTAATTACATACTTGGTACATTTAAGAGCTTCCAGCACAAACAGGGAAGCAAGGAGCCAGGCTTGGAGCAGCTGCTTTGGTGGAGAAGGATGGTCCCTGCAAGGGCTGAAGGGTTCTGCTTTTCAGTGCTATGAGCTGGGCAGCATCATCCTTGTCTTCTCCATGGCAGAGATGAGGCTCCCCTCAAGCCTTGCTGCCCATGGGCTCTCCCAGCTCATTTTCCTGGCTGGGAAAGACTTGATGGTTTCTCAGAGCCCCCGAAAACATTCCCTGTTGGTGTTGCATTTATTTGGGGCGAGGGAAGACTGAGATACCCTCTGGAAGCTCATGGGTTGAGCATGGGCCTTGTAGACAACGGGGTGGTGGAGGGGGTTGTTTTGTGGTAGGCAATGCCATCTGCTTTGCTTTGCTGAGGGTTTTCCTCTTCCAGACCCCGTATTTCAGCTCTTTGCTGCAGCTTCAACCTGGAATGTAGCATGTGGGGTCCTGTGTTATCCCACCAAAGAACCTGGCTTCCCTTTGTGCTTCTTCCCTTGTTGATGCTCAGGGCTGGATGTTGGGCTCCCCCTTTAGCCTCCTTCATGGGCTTGAACGGATAATGCTGCTTCACTGCTGGGGCTTCAGGGTGCTCCTGGTCCCTTTAGCCCCTATTCATGGGCTGCAGATGATGAGCTAAGGCAATGGGTGTCTCCTCTCACCCAAATGCCATGTGTCACCTGCAGTTTCAGTTCCCAAGCCCTTGACCCCTCAGCTCATGCGGTGCTTGAAGGGGCACCACGAGCCCAGCCCAGCTTCCTTGGCTTCAGTTTCTGTCCCTGGCTGGGGACCTGCCCAGTTTTACGCCTCTGCTCAGCCCCGAGCGGAACGAAAGCCCTTGAGGAGCTTGTGGTTCCCTTCCCTGAGCCTGAATAACCCTGACAAGTTTTTGCAGCCCCTGTGCACTTGAATAGCTGGGGCTGGGCTGCGCCGGTGCCAGCTCTGCATTGCCTGGCTGCATTCTTTCATTTCCAGCTCATGCTTCCCTCTTAACCCGTCCATTGCCTCTGCTCTGCAGGAGCTGAGCACGGGGATGGGCTTTCCAACCTCCTTCCCTCGCAGGCTGTTCTCTAGGGCTCTCCTTAGGGAGCCTAAAATGCAGCCAGGCCCCTTTTTCATGCTTTGGTGCTGGGGCTTCATGGTGCTCGTGGTCCCTTTAGCCCCTTCTTCATGGGCTCGAACTGACAACACTGCTTCAGTGCTGGGGCTTCATGGTGCTCGTGGTCCCTTTAGCCCCTTCTTCATGGGCTTGAATTGATAAGAGTGAGCAGATAAGCTGATTTAGTTCGTGTACCTGTATTACAGACCTGGGAATCTCATTTGAGGTGTGATGTTTGTGGCGTGACAAGCACTAAAGGGCTTGGAGGGGCTGGGGAAGGAGCAGAGGGAGTATGTGGAGAGCTGGGATACAGGGACACAGCTGCAGCCTGAGTGTGGTCCCAGAACGATGCTTTCCGCTGGTGGGAACCCAGGGCAAGGCTCTGCTGACAGCTCTCATCCATCACGAGCCTGTCTCTCCATGTGTTTAGGTAGAGGGTGTGCTGTGTTTGTACTGCCTCTTCCTCTATCCTGGGCAGATTTTCTGCCCATACGAAGCACTTCACTGTGTAAAGAGACGTTTCTCCCCCTCCCACCTTCTGCCTGTGGTGCAAGAGGAGATGTCTCCACCTCTCTGTGTCCTCGAGGCTCCAGTCCCTGCCCTAGACACTGTCATGGGGGGAAAAACCTCATTCACATTGTGCTTCTTCCCTTGGACATGCTCTGGACTGGGTGCTGGACTCCCCCTTTAGCCTCCTTCATGGCCTTGAACTGATAACACTACTTCAGCGCTGGGGCTTCATGGTGCTTATGGTCTGATGGGTGCCCTGGGACCCCCCAACCCCTCCCTATACCCCCAGCTGTGGCTGCATCACTCCAGAGAGGACAAGGCATGTGGGGCAAATGAGCCTTATCCTCTCTATCCCCCTCCATGCAAAGCCTGGGAGGGGATCCAGGGCTTTGTGCAGTTCCTCCCTCCTGCTCTCATGTTATGAAGTTGGGCTCAGGCCTTTCCTCTGCCCCACAGGAGCCTCCAGCCCCACAGAACAGCCCTTGTCCTGTGCCCAGCTCATGCAGTGGCACAAGGGATGCTGCAGCAAATCATCCTTCCCATCTCCCTCCCTTTTGCCATCCCAGCCCCGAGTCCAGCATCCCCGGGGCTGCTGCTTCCCACGCCGCATCCCTGCATCCTCCCCATCACTCCCGCTGGACACTCACTCCCGTTTTAGCCGTTTCTATCCCGGCTTCCCCTGTGCTGCCGGCTGGGAATGGTACAGTCCCTCCCTCTGTGGATGTTGCTAGAAGGTGAAGGCATCAGCGCAGGCTGCGGAGGCTGCGGTGGCTGCAGCAGCCCCGAGACATCCCTGGAGAGGGGTGGAAAGGACTCGACGAGGAGGCTCAAGCTCAGCTCCGGCCCTTTCCCAGCTCCTGCTGCTCCGGCAGCACCGCTAGTGAGGAGCCATGACCCAGGGGAAGGTAGGTGGGAGGCCAGCGCTGGGTGATGATTCCTGCTCGAATGTTATTGCATGTTGAGAGGGGGAAAGTGGGTTGGAGGGAGGGGATAAAGGAGTAGAACCACTGTGGAGAGAGGAGCTGGGCACCAGTGCCCGGCACCAGTGCCCAGCCCAGTGCCATGGGGGGGTTCCAGCGGGGGGGCTGTCATTATGGGGCTGGGGGCTGCTTGTCCTGGGGCTGCGTGTGCAGCTCAGCTCCTGCTGTTGGACCTGTGGCTGTTCACCCATCCCAATATCCCAATAGCAGGGAGCTCACGGGGTGCTTGTGTTTCCCACCCGTGCCCCCCACAACCAGCACTTGGCACTTGCCCTCAGCACCTCATTCCTGGTCCAGGGAGCTCTGGTTTTGGGGTTCTCTGATGCTCTGAGCCCAGGGGATGGGGGCAGTTCGTGCCTCCAGCACAGTGCACCGTTGCCATGACAACGATGCTGGAGGCTGCCTGGATGCAGCAGCACCATCCCTCCTGCATCTCCTTGGGTACCTCTGGGGGGTCTTGCATGATACTGGCCACCCTCTACCCAAGGGTATGTAATGAAGGATGGGGTGAGGATGGTCCCTATGGGCTGGCAGAGGAGGTGGCACCATTAATCCTGACGCAGCTGGATCTGCTCCTGCTGCACATCCCTGTTACCCTGTGCCTGGCACATCTTTGGTTTAAGCCCTTCTTACAGGGACTGTGCTTTCTGTTGCAGTGCTGGTCAGTCTGTCTCCTTCATTTTGGGCTTCTCCTGGTTCCAGCCCCACATCCCTGTGATCCATGGGGATGCTGACACTGAGGTACCCCCTTTAGCAGCAAGGGTGGGAAACAGGCTCAGGTCTGACAAAGATCTCGAAGGTTAAATGGGTAACGCTGCCAAGGAGAAGCAGGTTCTCAGGTAGCCTCTTTGAGGATCCTCTTTGCTTGGGTTACATGGTCTGAGGGATGCCAAGGTCCCTCAGCTGCATCTTCATGTTACGGCGAGCAGCAAGGCTGAGCCTCCGGATGGACAGCAAGGAACAAGCTAGAAGATGATGTTGGGGGACCAAACCAGAGCAGTTGCTGGGGGCTGTGAGTGGAGACGAAGGAGTTCAGGGCGTTTGACCCAGTAACTAAAGCTCTTTGTGAAGGGAAATTTAGACAGAAGGAGGCTGAAAAGCAGAGAATTCTCTGGATGTTTTCCAGTGTCACACGTGAGCTGGAGGCACCAAGAGGACCCTGGGCAAGGCTGTATCTGCCTCTGACCTAGATGCTTGTATTTTCCATCCCCCTTAACACATCCCATGTTTTCCCCATCAGGTGCAGGGATGGTCCATTGAGTTGCTGAGGGTCCTTCCAATGGAGGACCCCCCAGACCTCAATCCGTGCCCCATTGGGTCACCCATAGGGTGGTTTCTGTGCTGGTTTCATGGTCTAACCCCCCCTTTCCTCCTGTGCAGCTCTCGGTGAATAACAAACCCCCCGGCTCCGAGGGGCAGGGGGAGAAGAAGGACAATGCCTCAGCCCCACCAGCGCCTCCGAGCTATGAAGAGGCGACAGCAGGAGAAGGGATGAAGTCGGGTGCTTACCCTCCTCCTCCATCAGTCCCGCTGCACCCCAGCTGGGCTTACGTGGACCCCAGTAAGTCCTTGTGTATCTGTACTTGGGGGTGCAGTGATTCCCCCTATGGGCTTGTAGAGAAGAGGGGATCCAGGGATGCAGTGCCTGGGTTGGTCCATGGTAGAGCTCACCCTAGAGCTGTAGCTCTGAGCCATGGAAGTCTATATCTATATGTAAAAGCCATTTCATCCACCACTAGACCGCGCTGAGGTGGGACTAAGCTCCAGTTCTCTGCTCTCCGTCCCAGTGCTGGGATGGGAATAAGCCCCTCTCCCAGCCTGCTCCCAGGGCTTGGAGCCGTGCTCCTGGCTCTGCAGGCAGCAGCTCCTGCTCTCCAGCTCTTGCTCCAACCCGGTTTGATAGAAGCTGCTGAGCTGGCAGGATCAGTGTGGTCCATCAGTGATGCTCTGAGCTGTGCTCGGAGGCTGAAGCAGCTCCACTCGAGGGCTGAATTGTTCCAGTGCGAGGCCAATTCCTCAGCAAACAAACAGCTTTTCTTCCCTGGGAGCTCTCTGCGGCTCCTGCTTGGTCATGACACGTGGACAAAGGCTCCTCTGTGCCCTGTGCAGGGGAAGGGTTGTGTAGCCCCAGTTGGGATGATGCAGGAGCCACCGCCAGCAAGTCTGCTGGGGTGGCCGAGTGCTTGGTCAGCACAGCTTGAGCTGGAGGGACCGGGTTTAGTGTCCCTTGAGCCCAATCTCCCTGCTCAATCCTCTTCCTCTGCTGTGCTTTGCCTGCCTGTTCCATCCAGTGAGGATGGAGATGCTTAGGGAAGGGGACAGAGCAAGTGAGACCCCTCCGAGACATGTGCACTTGCACACACTGGTGGTTTCGGAGCTGCTCATCCCTGTTTGGTTCAGGAGCCAGAAACAGGGGGAGACAGAACCTCCCAGCTTGCTGCTTCCTTACTGATGGATTAGGATGGGTCAAGCCCAAATGGCTTAAGGATGCTGGGATTTGGGGTATCCTGGGGTACTTGTTCAGGTGATGTGTCACCTCTTGTCCCCTCCCTGACAACCTGGCAGGATTCCCTGATCCCTGCTGGTGTTTTCTTCCGATTCCATGTTCTTCCCCCCTTTCCCTGTCCTCAGCCGTGCTACAGGCTCCTGTTCCAGGGTCTGGAAGTCCAACAGCTTATATGGGACTGGAAGCAACTGGGGAGAACTGGTGTGTGTTCGGGGATCGCAGCACACACTGTGTTGCTGCCTTGGCTGTGGCCGCGGATGGGAGGTGATGGGTGCCAGGGAGGAGGACACCCTCCATTCCTCCGAGGCATTTAGGTGTCTGTTATGGTGTTTAGATGCCTTGATGGCTCTGACAAAAGAGGTATTGAGGTGTCCTGGGGATATGGCCCTGGGGTACTCTCAGCCTGCGTGGTGATGACAGGTCTCACAGTAATGAAGGGAGGATGCACTGCCTGAGATTCATGTCCACTGGGGCATAGAAGGAGGCACAAGAGACTGATTAAGCACAAGAAGAGCACAAGAGCTTTATTTCCTGCTGTAGGATGAGGCTTCTGCAATAAGAGCAACCACTAAAACAGCAAATCCAGGAGCAAAGCCCTTGGGTTTGGCTTTCCTGGTGCCTGCAGCCTGTATCCTGAGCCTGAGAGGGTCCTTCCTCCTCCTGCCTGAAGGATATGAGCATCACTGAGCTGCAGAGCTTTGGGAAGGAGGGGAGGCATCTGTCAAACAGGGAGGGACATGAACATAGAGCTGGTGTAATCACCTAAACCTTCCTTCTATAGGAACCCAGGTAGGGAGAACTTCGGTAACATGGAAGGGGATGTTTGCAGGAGAAGCAAATAGCAGAGGGCGATGATGCACTGAGACAATGAGGGTTCAGTATTTGCTTTAGAGATCCTTGAGCATGAGGTTCAGGAGATGGAAAAGGCCAACTCATATCATTTGAGCAGCTGATCTCAGCAGGGAGAAGCTGCTGCTTTGGGTCTCTCTTGCAGCCCCTGTCCTGCAGCATCCACACTTCATCCATCAGCAGAGGCTCCCCAGTGTTCCCCTCCATCCCCCTTCAGGCTGCAGAGCAAAGTGATGCTCCACGGTCCAGCCTTTCTCCTTGCCCACCTGCAGGGCACCTCCAGCAACAGGAGCTTGTATTGCAGAGCCTGCAGCAGGACAGGGTTGTGTGGGGCGATGCTTTGGGATCAGGTAGTCACTGGTGGTGTTTCCCCCTTGTTTGGGCTTGCTGTTAACTGGTTCCCTGCATGGAAATGGGATGCAGGGAAGGAGCAGCTGGTTGTCAGGAGCTTCCCTTTGAGGTGAGGGCACAAGATGCAGACAGAGTCTGAGCTCTTAAAGCAGGGAGGGAATCCTCGGGATGGGAGCTCCTGAGGTGCTGAGTCACGGCTCCGCTGGGAGATGCTTTCATATTCAGTGAAAGCTGAGCAAGGATCCCACAGGAGCCCTCTCATTGCCACGGGAGATCCGGTGTCACCAGGAGTTAACCCTGTCCTCCTCACCGGGCTGGAGTTCACAGTGTGGCTTCCCCTCTGCTCTCCGAGATGGTCCAAATGGGATGCAGGGATGGGGAGGGAGCTGGGGGCATCCCAGGGGGGCAACAAGAAAACCTTGGAATGTGGGGCTCCCGAGCACTCCCTGAGGTCAGGTTATTGCAGCCGGGGAGGGAGCTGGGTGCTGGGACCTCACCTGTGGCTTCTGCTCCAGGCACGAGCCCGAGCTATGGCAGCGGTGGGTACCCAGGGGACACGGAGATGCTCACCACCTTCAGCTGGGACGACAGGAGCGTGCGCAGGGTCTTCATCAGGAAGGTAAGGGGCTGGATCTCAGCTTTCCCTCTGGAAGCGGGAGACCCTTGGAGGGACCCGGCTGCAGTGGTTTGGCTGGCTGGGAAGCAGAGTCTGCGGATCACCCAGGGGCTTCCTCTCATTGCAGGTTTATGCCATCCTGATGGTCCAGCTCTTGGTCACTGTTGTTATTGTGGCTTTCTTCACCTTCTGGTAGGTGTCTTAGGATGCTTTGTCCTGTGTGTGACCTGCTCCTCATGACCTGTCACCTGGGGGGGTTCCATAGAGACCTGCAGCTTTGCCACATGTTCCAATGGGAAACCAAACCTGAGGGAACCCTGAGAGCTCCTTTCCCGATGTCCTGTGTATCCTGGGTGCTCTCCCGAGCCAAGAGGCCTCGAGTGTGAACTGCTGGGCTCTTCCTTAGGGGAGTTCTCCCAGATCCCAGCTGTACCTGGGCTTTGGGATGGGGTTTCCTCCCATTGCAGGAGCAGATCCCCCCGCTGGGGTGATGAGCACTTGGGCTCACGTTGTCAGCAGGATAAATAATGAATCCCCATCAGCAGGAGGGTTTCACCTCCTTCATTTCGCTCTCAGTGGCCGTTCCCAAGCTCAAGTGTACAACTGATAACAGTGGGGCCACCTTATGACCTGACAGCTTGAGTTTCCTTCCAGATGGGGAGATCCACATGTTGGGGGGGGTTTGTGTGTGGTTTTGCTCCACATCCCCTGTGCTGCGTCACCCCACGTGTGTTCCCAGCTTGAAGTCAGCAGCAGCCAGTGCAGCCCTTGGCTTTTCTGATGCTTCCTGCTCACAACCTGCTCCCTCTTGTCTTGCAGCGAGCCGGTCAAGGGGTACATCCAGACCCACTCTGCCTGGTACTGGGCTTCCTAGTGAGTATCTCTGTCTTTTTCTATGGCCACACATGGTCCCAGCAGCTCTGGATGGGGCCGTGGTGCTGGGGATGTATCTTGCATGTGAAGAATTGCACCAGTGTGAGTGCAGGGGGAGGTGAGGAAGTTCTTGGATAACTCTGAGGTGAGGAGATGGAAAATCTCACTGGAACGAGTGTGAGACACGGGAGATGCTGCTCCAAACGCTTCCAGGAAGGGGGCCCTGCAAAGCAGGCTCAAAGGAAATACAGAGTGTTTCCTGCAGAGCAAACTGGGGAGCTGGCAGGGAAACAGTGCAGAAACCCAGATGTGAGACCCTGGAGGCTTCGTCTCAGGAGTCTCCCTTTGAAAGCAAGGAGATTGCCTGGTTTTACATCACTTGCCTTGATACGCACCAGAAGCGAAGAAGGGTGCAGGCGATGAAGGGGGGTGTGGATGTGGGTGTGTTTGGAGGCGTCAGGGTGTTTCTGGCCGTGTTTAACAGGGCTGTTGTGCCTGGGACTCCTCATGGAGCCACTCTCTGTATCCAGAGCACAGGATGCTATCCCTTAGCCAAGCCTGGCCCCAGAGCTCAGCCTGGAGCTGCTGTTGGTTCATATGAGTTGTGCTGGTTTCCTGGATGCCACTTGTGTTGCTGCTGCTCATGAAGCATCAGTGATGGGATTGTCTGAACTTGGTTTAATGTGTTCACACCCAAAGCATGAAGCGTGTCCAGAGCCGGAGATGAGACACCACTTATATAACTGAGAAGAGGCCCAGAATAGCAGCAATGAAAGGGAACTGGCACCAACACGCCTCTTTGGCCTCAAGGGAAACTGTGTGCTCCTCCTTGGCCACTTGGTAGATGGGAGAAGCAGCGTTGCCCTGTAGGGAGACAACACTGAGTTCTGCTCAGGTCTGTGCTTCAACCCTTGAGTTCATCTCTTGCAGCTTCCTGGCCAGTAGCATTTACCTCTTCCTGTCTTTCAGTGTGATCATGGAATCCCAGACTGGTTTGGTTTGGAAGGGACCTTAAAGCTCCTCCAGCCCCAACCCCTGCCCTGGGCAGGGACACCTTCCACTAGAGCAGGTTGCTCCAAGCCCCTGTGTCCAACCTGGCCTTGAACACTGCCAGGGAT